ATATGTGTGTGTGTGTGTGTATGTGTGTGTGTGTGTGTGGGTGTGTGTGTGTGTGTGGGTGTGGGTGTGTGTGTGTGTGTGTATGTTCATGATTTTGGTGCTTTTTCTTATTTTTTACTTGATTTTTGTAATTCCTGTTTTAATTTTGATTTCATTTTTTATTAGTTTACATTTCCAAAATTGAAGCTCATACTGTAGTTAACAACTTTTTAAGTTAAGCTACTGGCTTTCATTTTTTTCGCATTCCTGGTTAATTTGCTTTTCTTTATATGATTTGTTTTTGTATTGGTTGTTACTTTTGTATCTTAGTTGCTATTGTTGTTAGACCGCACCACAAGAGTTGTGTGTGCCACCGTTCTAAAGTTGAAGTGTCAATAAATAAAAAATTTAAAAAATAATAAAATAAAAATTATATAGCATATATAACACATAACAGAAACAAAATATTTAAGCTACCCCATTCAGACTTGCTTCGCATTGCGATCGGTTGTAGCAATTGCGACACCCAATCGTAAAGTAAAATCGTGTCTGAAAGCTCACCAATAGTAGTCGATAAGTAATCGAATTGTTACCCGTTGCGATTAGGTGCTACAATCTTTATTACTCCCGATTACCACGGAATCCGATCGCAACGGATTTCACAGGCACTGATTGGCTGAGGTCAAACAAAACAGGACGATCTATATCGTTGTTAGTGATGTAAAGTATCAAAGTAAAAAGTTGTCTGAATGCTCTCGAAGTTTGCGAATGGCTGCAAACAATTTGGATTACAACTGTTTACCACCGATTACATCGCAACCACTCGCAATGCGAAGTCTAGTCTGAATATGGTATTAGTATTAGTATTGCTATTGGTATTAGTGACAATTGTATTCATGGATAGTGTATGTGGTCAATAGCTGCAGCAGAATAAACTATTGGGAAATGGCAGGGTCGAAAAGACCGTGAATTTGCGTCTCCCCCCCCCCCCCCCTTGAGTTTTTTTTTTTTTGTTTGAGTGTCATCAAACACGTTCGTATGTTTCGTAGTTGCCAGAGAACAAAAGCAACCTTAAAAATTGCATGGTCGAAATATCGTCCAATTTCGACAAAAGCTGTGAGCTATATACCCATTGAGTTTTTGCAAAATTTTATTTTTCACCTAGTCCTTCTTTTGGTGATTCTTCCATTCGTATGGTCCGTAGGTGTCATGAAAAGACAAATAACGTTTGATTTAAACATTGCCAAGCCATGGAAGCGTTCAACATAATTTTCTTAGCATTTATATGCTATGAATTATGACAGATGATTTAGAATCTTGTGTCCCATGCTACGTTAATGTTTCAGTGTTTGCGTCAATGCGATACCAATTTCAAACATTTTTGAGTGAACACGTGGCGTGAATTTTGATATACAAATGCAATGCAATAAGATGCAAGTGAATTCCTGTTGCATGGATGTGATATTATGCAGCAAGTTAGATGTGAATGGAACTCTGTTGCATAGATGTGCTAAGAATTTTTTAGTGAATCCCTGTTGAGTTGATAACAATTCTTAAAAAATGCGAGTGACTTACTGTTTACGTGGTGGATGTAAGGGTCATTCAAGATTCCTTAAGAGCCAGAGGTGCAAGGGTGTCTATAGGTCAAGGTGGTTTGGACAACGGTTGTGACTCGGACCCTCAACATTAAGGTCGTGGGTTCGAAGCCCTCGCTGCGCAAGTTGCTTGTGTCCTTGGCACTTTATCTACATTTGGCTCTACTCAGGAGTATAAATGGGAACCTGGTGGGATCTACACCAAGCACTGATTCTAGCGTCTTATGGGATTGTGCTCCCCATGGTGTTTGATCCAGTGACCCGAGTATAATAATGCAAAGCGCAGAGAGGCAGATGTGCTATATGAAAAGTAAAGTCCAGTAAATCCTTGCCGAACAGATGAGAGTGTGATGCTCAAATGCACAAGCAAAATGCACAGCGAAGAATTAATACAGTACTACAACTTCCCAGGTTGGGAACCAACCATTTCCACTGCACCAAACCGCCTCCACCCAGGCTGTATGAATGTCATAATATTAATATTATCATTATCATCATCATTTTTATTATTATTAAGGCCACCACCAAGAGCACTTGTATTTAGATAAATTGTTTTCTTCAGAGGTGGCACCAGGATTTGTCCGACGGAGGGGTCCGTGGTTCACGACGAGGGAAGCCAATGTCCCCGACGAGATCAAGGTACGTGGGCGTAGTCGTGGGCGTAGCCGCGAGCGTCGCTCAAAATCTTTCAAAAGTAGTACAGGGAACAAATTCCCCAAAAATATGATAATTTAGGGGTTTCAGGCTAAATTTAATCGATTTTAGAGTACACTAATAGGTAAATAAATACATATAATTGTTTTTAACCCAGACGAACTGTGGTTTTTCTCGCCGACTGCGGCTCTGGTCCACGGCCCCCAGTGGTGCCACCCCTCGTTTTCTTGTCCTGGGAACCAGTGCATTACTCCCTAGCCCCCTCCCCTTTTGGTGCTAGTAGCCCTTGCCCATATTCCTTTCCCTTATTGCTTTGAAGAAGAGCTCTGGTTGGGGTCATTCTAAATTTCATAAATTTTATGGTACCTGATGCAAAGGAGTGGATGGTTTGGCTTATCAGAGCGGGTTCAATCCAACAATAGAAACCCCCCTGTAATTACAGGCATGGATGAAGTACAACAATAGACAATGACATCGACCAGACAATTCAAACTTATTTCGTGTGGGATGCAAAAGCACTTTATTTCTGCTGTATTCTGTCTTTCGTCTCCTTCACATACAACAGTCTAGTAGATTAAAGAGCACACAGTACTATACTTGTTCACGAACATTAGCCTTTTAAAATAAAAACACCCTCAAATTTCATTCCTTTCTGTTGACAACAGGTAACTAACATCGTACACTCTGTTGACCACTTTTAAGGAAGGTGCTATTTCACTTCTTTAATACGATTAATTCATCCATGGTTCAAATTGAAGGAAACCAGCAAATACTGCACTCTACCAGACATGTTGAAGAAGAGGCATCAAATGTTAAAAATTGACTTTTTAGTATTCGTCTCCAATTAACATTTTAAAGCTAGTTATTTAGCAAAATAAATAGTTCTCTTGCCAAAAACATCAATAAATACAACTGGAGAGTGTTACTACATACCTGAAAACCAAGTGCTTGTAACAAAAAATAAAAAATACCCCTTACATGAAACTGGCCTAAATATTTAAAAAAATTGCGTATCTTATTTATTCTATTTGTTTTCGTGTATCAATTTACATATTCTACATTTTCTTTAGAAGGCTCAAAAGCTGACCACCAACAACAGATGCATACTGAAGCAAAAGAGAGTACGGTATTAACAAATCTGTGCATACAGTATTTCTCCAATCCTTGGAACTATTATGCAATAACAATTACAAAATTATACAATACCAAAATAAAATGGTAAATTATAGCAATTAAAATATTAATAATACACTACATTCCTTGATTTGTTATAACTAAAGAGATCACAATTATTATTTGGTAAAATATTTGAAACATATTCAAAGAAATCTACCAATAGATCTCCCTTTACTAAAAATGCATATTAAATTTTTCAAATCTCAGAACTCATAGTTTGCACAAATTTTATGTTTATTTACTTCATCTGTCATACTTCTTTTTTTCAGATCAAACTTCAATCACTAATACTGGTCAAAGAAAAAGCAGCATTTGCGATTACCATACCTTCAAAATATATAATTATACATATAAAATAAGGAAACACAACTAAAACATTCATAAAATTCAATACATGTATATATATATATATATATATAAAAAGATGATTTAAATTAAGTTGACAATAAAATAATTAGTAAATAAGGTGATGATTATACATTCTTATATCTGACAAGAAAACGGTTGTTTAAATACACTTTAGATTATTATACTTTTTAACTACAGATAATGTGTTTCTCAAATACAAAACACAGAAGTGACTTAAACTGCTGATATCTTAATAGAATACAAATCACCTATGTTTACATACAAAGTTAAACTGCATCTCACATACAAGTATCATTAAAATCATCCAAGGTAAAGTTTACCCTATTACTAAATTCTCCAATTAATCATTGTAGTTAGATATATTACACAATAATGATTAAATTAACCAAAAATCACTTTACCCCTCAAAAGTACCCTTGCCTCATATTTTTGTCAAAAACACTAAAAAAAATTCAGAATTAAAAACAGAATAAAACCTCACTAAACAAAATAATGAAACATTATTAACAGGTACAATAATTGTCAAAAATCTTTAATTATACAAAATTTATACAAATTGCATTAAAATGCTATCATCCAACCAAGTATGATAATTAGCTGTTTTGCTAAGCCAGCTATACAGAAAAAAAACTGAAGAAAATTGTACCTCAATGTAACTTTGACATAGTACTCAATTACAATTTTCAATTTCTTGTACAAATCTTATTATTCTGCAAGGTTTTGGGAATCAATTACAGTATAAGGGATTAAATCAACCACAGTGCTTTACTACTCACATCAGCTATATACATTTTATTTATTCATTTATCTGTTACTCCATTGTCTTTATCACAAACACACTAGTCACGTACAGAAACCGAGACCTGTCATTTTGAAAGTGAAACATTTAAAATTATTGTATTATGTAAACACAGTCTTCATGAGGAAATAAATTTTACCAGGAAGCAGGAAATCATATAATATTAATAAAAGTAAGCCAAAAATAACAATTTAGAAAACTAGTTTAGAAGTATATCGACAAGGCTTTCATGAATTTACATGAGGAAGTGTACACAAAAAATTGTGTTATTAAATATCTTAACTAGTCGTCAAATGTTAGATTTGCTTTACTTAAACTGGGCACACACTGCGTCGTACAATCACCCAATCAATCTATATCTGTAAGCGATTTATGATGCGATGACATCTTGTTAAAATTCAGTCTAAGATGGAAAAAAAACAAAACAAAACAGTAGTGCTTTTAAAATTAAATATTAAAAGAATTCTGGGCTATCATTGTACAATGACTTTATGGGTCCCACCTAGAATATAACTATTACAATCTGGGTGTTGGAAGCCCATTAGGTTGCACAAAATCCTGAAGGCATCATCAAATGACTGTAATAGAAGCTAGAACTTTGATTTAGTTTTTATGTTCCTCATGCCTTAAGTTACATAAATCAGCAGTGATTTTGGTAGTCTTTGATTGAAACACTTAGCTGGATAAACCGACTAACTGCACATCGGTTTATCAAGGCAAGTAGCAATTTTGGTTGAGATACTTACCTGGATAAATCGACTAGTTACCAATGGTTTATCCAGGCAATTATTTCCGGAATAGACTAGTGCCTCAACCAACTATAGACTAGTCAATTAAAGTATTGGCTCCACGATCATTGTTTGCCACATAGACTATTCCAAAGAGTATAGAATTACAAGAGGTCCAACCATTACTTTGCATGTGCGCAATGAGACAAAATGAAAAAAAAAGGGGGGGGGGGTCCATTAGAATTCAACTAGATTTCAAAACCCGAACATGCTTTCAACTAACACAACGCACGTTCAATACGAACGCCTCTATACGTTATTTTGAAGGACGCCCTCTAGTTCGTGGTAGTACTTTCGAGATAAGATTGCATTTCAACGAAAACCATAGAGTCGGGCCTCTTGCAGTTCTATACTCATTGATTATACCTAGAAAGTATGAAAAATATTTCAAAAAACACCACTTCTGGTTAAATATAAACAAGTTTTTACCTACACAAGGCATAATACCATTGCTGGTGTTACAACTCACTTGCTAAGGTACAATCAAAATGATTTCATCATTGTTCTGCACACAAAAAGAGGATATCTGTTGAATAGTGTAGATTCATGGGCCAAAACCATCCTCAAATAATAGTTCACTCGCATGCAAACATACGATGAAACAATTGGCAAAATGTCTATTCAGGGGTCAGTGTACAGTATTCTTCAAAGTGCTGTTAAAAATTTCAAATAATTACATATTGTATGCTACATATATTGGGTCTAGCTGGTCAGCTAAAAATCCATCTCGTAGATGCATACGCTGTTTTTCACCACGGGAGTTGATTGGCACGACGCCAGGATCGACGAGAACAACAACGCCAACAATGAGGTAGTGGTCCTCAAGTACCGCATTCGTGATGAGTGGAACAAGGTCAAGGGCCTCCTTCTCATCTCCATCAAGTTCTACAACCACAACGAGGAGGTTTGTCCATGTAAACACAGCACTGCATGAACCAAAGAAAAAAGTTCATGTTAACTATTTAATTCACTGTCATCCTACTGTAACATTGAATAAAACAATAAAATGATAGAAAAAATATCCAGCATCACTAGATAATTTGAAAGTTCCTTACCTCTCACAAATATGTCTATGACATCGTAGGACAGTGTTTTCAATATCAATTGGATGATACCTCATACCACGCATTGATAATGCCTCATCCAGGGAACCCACAACGAACAATGCATCATGCCGATCTAGAAATGTGAAAAAACATCAACCATCATCTTTCTAAGTGTTGTTTAATTCAATCAATTGGGCTAAATTATAATTTACAGCTAAAAGTACAGCTAAACTTGGTAGATATTAAGAAATAGTAAATGTGATTATTTTTATGCACACATACTTACAAAAAATATGGTGAAGGTATTTAGTATAATTTTTAAGTGATCTTTAAAAATGTTTTTCATGGGCTAGGGTAAGGGAAAAATCACTGACTCACAGACTGGATGTAGAGAGAAACCACTGACTCATGGGATGAGGAAAGAGCCCATGAATCTTGGACTGAATAATATCCTACCTCCGTCAGCTTGAGTCAGGTCAGTCCTTTTAATGAAGCCTAGATACCCAGTTCTAGCATAAACAGTACTTGTATCACCTGTGGTCAGTCTGGAATTAAAATGGTCTGCGTAGGCGGAATCATCACCATAGATGGTGTAATAGCCTGCTGCATTGTGAGGGCTGTTCACCCAAACCTAAAAAAAAACCAAAAAAAAAAACCAACTCCATTACAGATGTTTGAAAAATGATTAAGAATAGCAGTCCTAAGAATAAGATATCATTATTATAGGTGATTCGAGTGGCCGAGCGGTAAGGCAGGGGCGGCACAACCTACAGCCTTAACATCGGCTCTGGTTCCAGCCGCTCCTCGCCCTTTCACAGTCTTCTCGGATAAGGACTTAGAATGGAAGTCCAGTGTATACATTGCATCTTTCGGAAGAGTAAGGTGTTACCCTGATGTTATGTTTCATTTCAGCCCCTGTCATTGTGGAATGATGTGAACATGTATCTACCAAGAAGCGCCTCTTTACGGCTGCTAGGTAGTCACGGACCACGCCCATACGAAATTCAGCACAATGACGCTGCAAGTTATGGGTTATTCTCCTACCTTTACCTTTATCATCAAACACAGCTATTATTAAAGTATTATTATTACCACATAATCACAGAAGTTGTTTAAAATAGGTTACAAATTCTAACATAAAGTATCAGATAGGTTGCCAGAATATTGTCTGATTTACCTCCCCTAAGTGAGAATCAGCACACTGCCCTTTGGTCTCAGGATGTGCAATGACCACTTTCACACCTGGAAGAATCTGAAAGAAAATGGCATAAAAAAAATAATAAAATACAGAATCTTCACTTGAAAAATTTAATCTCTCTATGTGCATATGCAGTATATGAACAACATTATTTTTAAAATTATGTAAAATAGAACATTAATTTACATTAAAAATGTTGCTAACTGAATATTGGAGGTGTTTGAATAACATGATAAAAGATCTGATTGATGCAATAAGCTCACCTTGCCAGATTCCATCATACACAGTCCATGGGGACTACCTTTCTCCACCAAAGTAACTCGATCATTTCTAAGAGCTCTCACATCAACATAAACATTGCTTGGATCGGGACTGGAAGCTCCCTGTATACATAATAATTATAATATTCAATAGATGAACACATTTATTTAGCTTCAATTTCATACTTAATACAACACAGAAATAAGACAATGAATATCATAAATTCCATAATCCTATAAGCCAAACATACATAGCAGTAAATTACATTACATTTCTAAAAAACTAAGAAAACAAGGCAATTCATTTTTAATAGACTCACCTGCATTCCTACAGCAACATTAACACGACACCCAAATGCAGTGCTGACTGCCCGCGTAGCTAGGCCTACGGTCCTAAACAGTGTGCAGAAATGAGTAGTCAAAGCCACCCTAGGCCTCTCCTCAGCTACCACAACAAGGGAGCGGACAGCTGATAATGACACTCCACGGGACTAATAAAAGCAATATAAGTAGACAGATATATATTATCACTTGATTCGAGCTCAGTTTAACAAATGTTTAACATTTAAAAAAAATATTTATTTAGATTCTAATCAGCCTCCTACTTACCAACTGCTTCCTTACATGTATATAAATGCTTAAGACATTAGCTGCCATTGATGTGAATACTCGTCTTATAGGGTTTTGCAGACGGGACAGTTACAAGCGACTTTTGTGTATATTATGTGCAACCATGTTAAAGAATATATATTTTATACTTATATCATACCTTAAGTCCATTTACAGAGGTTCCTAGTCCCTTGGTGCATAGCTCCATCACAGAGTAGGAACAGAATGTGTCACGAACTACAAAATAAATGTCAAAAAAAGTTCTCCTCGATTTGTACAAATGCTATTGTTACCAAAATATTATCCCAAATAATAATATTCCCCTGTCATGTTATAATCCTATTGAACATCAAGTCATTGCAAATGTACTTCCCAGTAGAGCCATACTTTTTGGCAAGGACAATCATCAGAATTCCAAACTAACATTTTCATTACAATGGTCACTATAAACTTGAACAATGTACACAAGTGCATTTTAAGTGTACACAGGGTTGACCTTCAATCATTTGAGGCTTGCCATCACAAAACCATCATAATGTTGCTAATTGTTAAACTGAGTAATCATCATAAGAATGTGGTAGTATTGTATATTTTAGTACAGAGAAACATTATATTTGGCAATATAAGCTGATTCCAGTGAATGACCCATCATTTTAAAGGTACCAATGTGGAGAATACGATATTGAAAAAGTCAATTTTCATTTCTCGGCCACTGATGCTGGTTTTGGAATGGCAAGCCTAATGTAACTTTCTTCTACTTCTTTTTCCATTAACGCTCTGCCCGCCAAACACGGAGATCTCTGTGTTTGGTAACGCAACACTTGACCGCCAAACACGGAGATCTCCATGTTTGGTAACACAATGCTTGACCGCCAAACACGGAGATCTCTGTGTTTGGTAACACAACGCTTGACCGCAAACACAGAGATCTCCGTGTTTCAGGGTTTTTTTACGGAATACGATAGATGGGGTAATTACCGACATGTACTAACAATTCGAACACTATATTCAGTCTGGACCATAAGTATTTCACTATTTGTTTGTTTACATTGCCATAAAGCTGTATTATCTCAGCTTCGTTGTGCGAAATTGTGTAAATCTCCAAATGTGAGTCATTTTCATTTTACAGTTACAGGTCACAGATTGTGATTACAATAGTGTTTGGTACCATTGTAAAGCTAAGATGTTTTGTAGTTCTTGTAGTATTCACTACATGTCAATCAATTCACATACGCACTCTCAACAAGCTTAAGAGAAGTGTTAAAATTTGCTAAAAAGTCTGGCGGTGGCTGATACTATTTTTCAAACCCCTGGCGGTCAGAGTGTCAATGAGAAATGTTCAAGGCTACTGTCCATCTAACACAAATGAATTTTGCAACCAGTTTACAAAAGTTTGAATGTGTGGCTTTTCTTTTATTGTAACTTAGCTAATACAGTACTAAAATTTACCTTTGTATTGACTAAGTGTGCTCAGCCACAGAGCGGGATTGGCTTCCACTTCAGAGGGCGGTATCAAAATAGAGTGATGTCCAGAATAAACACTGTAAATATATAATAATGAACCAAAATAATTACTGTATGTCCATAAAATAACAATGAACATAGCCAAAGAGTACAGATATAACAAGGCAGCGTATTCTCGTTTGTAAATACGTCAATCCTCCAAAGACTGTAAAATGTGTATCGTTGATTTACGCTGTCAACGAGTGTACTGGCCTCGCTTGTCTCTCTATACTCTTTCACATAGCACACATGCAATCAAAGACTTACTCTATATTATTTTGAAGGCAAGTTATAATTACTTCATTCTGGTAAGAATTTACAATACTAGTGGATATTTTGTCAAGCCACATTAAATAATATTACATTAAATTACCCTTTACGAACTATAGAGGGGGTGATGTTACCTTGTTAAACTCCATAAAACAAATCCTAAGCCAGAGTATGGATCCAAGCAGAGGCAGATAACCCTGGAGGGGTAAAGTTCACACGCTAACTTCTGAGACCGACAAAGAGCGCTGGCACCTGAATGAGAAATCTAAAAAACAAAAAATACCAAATTTAAGGTCATTTTAACAACAAACAACATTATTTGTACAAATAATGTACAGAGCAACCCAAGTGGAGAAGTCTACTTAGCGGAGAGGCATTAAAGTTGAATAAAGTAAGTAGAAACTCTCGCTGTGCAAACCGCTTGTGTGCTTGGGCAAGGCACTTTGTCTACGGTTGCCTCTCTCCACCCATGAGTATCAGTGGGTAGCTGGTAGGTTCGAACACAAATGCACTGAGCACTTGCTGCAATATTATGGAATTCTCCCCAGGGAGCTGAGTATGTGCACCATATGTGTTGATCCAAAGACCGGGGTACTGTAGTAATGTGAAGTGCTTAGAGGCTTGATGCATGAAGCGCTATAAAAGACTGACATATTATTATTATTATTATTATTATTATTAGGTTTGGCTTCGGAAAATGAAATATTTAAATTTCTATATACATTTTTTTTATAGAATTAACTTGTTAGAAACAAGTTCAATCAAATAATCAATTAACCAATCAAAACACTTTACTGTCTACTTTTTATACAAATATTTAAAAAAGAATACTTTTAATGCAAATATAGCTTAACACTACACTGATGTAGGCACATAGTGAGTACTAGACATGCAGCTGACCTTGACGCCTGCCAACATTCCAGTTGTGGACACGCTAAAATCCAAGAAGCACATCATCTCTGGTGTTGGTGCACGGTAGTAGTTTGTTAATTTTTTCTTTGGCAGGTCATCTGTGTCCAGAATTGTGGGCCATGATTTAGTGTCCACTGTACCTGTCGCTTCCTATGATAGACAGACATGCAGCTTATCAGTATCAACATATAATTTACACTACTGTACTTCCATCAATCAATCAATGTGTAAACAAAAAGAGTTTTTTTAAACAAATTACATGTATGTAGAACAAAATACACAATATAACCAATAATTACTAAAAAAAAATAATTAGTTAACAGAAATTATAAAAATTTACCTTTGATTTTAATAACCTGATGACCTGTAGAGTGGTCAAGATGGCTCTTGATTTGCTAACCTCTACAATCATTCTGACCGTAGGTAGAGTGGTCTGGATGTTCTGAGGGTGGGGAGGACGGACAGTTACTGGCACAACACCTGCGAAATAGATACACAAAATTAACATTTTTAGAGCACTTTATTGGACACACACACACAAAAAAGAATTTATTTTAGTTAGGACTCATATATGCCAGTATGGTGTCCAGCGGGGATACCATCCCTTGACCTAAGTCAAGTGTTTGTATTATGGTGTCAGAACATTAAGCAATAATGTATATTTTATCTTATCTTAATTTACACCTACCTATATACGCAAGTCTAGGCATGGAACGCATTAACACTTACCAACATACAAGCAGCCGTAGAAGGCAGCTACAAGGTCTAGGCCAGGTGGAAAGATGAGGGATACATGATCTCCTGTATTAATCTTGCCCTTATCTTGCAATAAAACAGCTATCCTCTCAGCTTTCTTGTGAAGCTGACTGCAGGTCAGTGTACCTGCTACACTACCCTGCAACATTAACAGATTGTATTTTCTAAATTTATTAAAACAATATGTTTTATCTTTAATTATAAAATTATCTTTACACTCATCATGGCATTGTACATATTAGTTAAGCATCTTTAAATTGAATGAACTAAAATAATATTTGAGCAGATACCTTGCTGTTCATAAGAGTGTAGAGGACATGATCTGGTGTTGACTGAGCTCTCCACTTTAAAACCTCGGACAGAAACTGGTACTTCCTCCCTGATTCTGTATCTTCGTCTACACCACCAATGTCTCGGCCAGCTGCCCCCGCTATCCTAGTCCCTGCCACCAGGTTGCCCATCATCACGGATGCTGGTCCGACATCCGAGGGCTTAATGCGAGGCTTTGGTAGGTTGGTAACGCATGTATGTGGACACATGAGAACATTGGTGGGATGGAGTAAGCCATCAAGGAATTTTTGTTTGGTGTCAGATAAGTGAATACCTCCCAGGGGGGTCTGATGAAATAATAAATTTGAAAAATTAATGATTTTGTTAAGAAACACTAGAGATAAAATATATGTTTTATACACTGCACTACACAAGGCTTCTGGTGCACTTTATATTGTTACTTACTCATTGGATCAATCAACTATTGTGTAAATTCTTGAATGTAAATTTTCAACTTAAGAAACTTGAAGCATGATCTAACATATGTAGTGATGTATATTTTAAGTTAAATGTTACTCCTGGGGGTGCTCTTACCTTTGGCAGGGTATTGGGTGGTACTAATGCAAGACAGTAAACGCCAACTTGATGTATACTGTCGATAGCCTGAAGAACACGACTCATCCACTGGAAGCACTATCGGATATAATATAATTGAAATCATTATTATGCATTACAGTTGAAATAAATGTAATAATGACCATGAGGATTATGAGGATGATGGTGACAATGATAAAATTCAGTACAGTAATAAGAAATATTAAAATGTCATAAAAGTGAGGAAAAAAACATGAAATAAACTACAAAAAAATCTAATAATGTTCAAATAAAAAAAAACTAGATTAAAATTTCAGTTTATTCTCTCATTACCTCTTCTTCAGTAGCATCTGGTCTTTGTTCAGCAATAATTATAACCCTTTCATCTTTAAGAACTTTAATGGAGAATACAGCAATCCTGAAATTAAAACAATAAAATGAAAATTACATAATTAAAAAGGATATGTCGTAAAATCAACTTCTTGAAAACAAAATCCAAGGCAGAAAAATAAAATTGCAGAATCCAAACAACTTCTTGAAAATAAAATCCAAGGCAGAAAAAGGTAGAAAATCCTTTTCGCACTAGCGAAAACGAGACACATTGGAAATACTTGATCCAACTTTTAAAGGAGGTTCACTTTCAACGAACGTCGAAAAGGGAATGAGACGTTTGTTAGGGAGACGGTTCGTACGTGGCGCCCTGGGTCTGACTGTTCCTTTTATTTCGAAGGGGTATTCCGTTTGGGAACAATGGCAATTAGTCGGTTTATCCAGGCCAGGTAAGTATTCACGAAATAGACTACATAATTTACTTTCAAAAGGCAGACCGAATCGTGGCCTCAGCAGCCTGAACAATATCATTAAACTTATCACAAGACAGCATACAAACTGGCAAGTATGCTGAACAACTAGGATTTTAACTAACCTCCCTCTGTAGATGAATTTCATTGGCTCAACAGCGAGAACAGTAGCGATGATGTCATCGGTATTATGTCTCCTTCCACTGACTGTCATCAAACCATCTGTTTTACCACAAACAAACACCAAACCACCCTGAAAGTAACAAGAATTAGATAGTTTCTTTCTTTAATCCTTTTACTGCATAAAAATAGCAAGTACATACAAAACAGTAAAAGCCAAAAAAGGACTGATTCAAAAGAACTGGTTAATCAACTATAACACAACAATTATAAAGTCTAAAAAACATGAAGGCTCTCTGGAAAAGAGCATATTTTGTCTGCGTCTACCTTCTGATTTATTCCTACGATGAGACATACGTGGATCCACATCAACAACACCGATTGAATATGAATTTTTATATATATATATATATATATATATATATATATATATAAACAAATGATAATGCTAGAATAAATTTTAATACTCTTCTACATTCAATAAAAACGTCCTAAATATAAGAAGAATATAATTTTAATTATTTTTGTCTCACAAAATGGTAAAACAACAAATATAAAGTGTCTAAGTATGTTACCTTGAAGACTTGGTTTGATTTGCCAGTAAGTCCCCAGTATGAGCTACCTACAGCTTCTGAGGCTACACATAGCTCCCCTACTTCATCTGTCTTACATAGAATTGGGTTAGAATCTACTTTCACAACCACCATCGCAGCTGAAAAAAAAATCAATTACTTTAATTCTTATTCCAACACTTCAATTACCAACACTCCTACCATTACCAGAGTGTTAACTACAGAATAATAAAACTAGTAAACATTCTACAAAATTCATTTATGATATTTTTAAATTTGAATTGGGTGTGTTTATGTACAAACACTCAATGAATATGCTTCTAAATGCTTTCCATAACTATTTTCATATAAGAGGTAATATACATAAGCATCTTACAAGGAACTATAATGACTATGACCAAAAGAAAAACAAAACAAGTTTTGCATCTAAAGGTGTAAGATCATTTGGTCCTGAACTATGGAATGATTTACCTCCTACTATAAAATGTGCCAACAGTGTTTGTATATTCAAAAAGAAATATAAATGTTTCTAATTGAGGCTCAATAATTCAAGCTTTCATGAAAATAAAAAATTAGATTGCATACAATTATTATATTCAATTTGTTAAAAAAAAGTGTAAGGAGGAATTGTAACGTAACAGTTAAATCCATGAGAAAGTAAGAATTTTTGAACCATGAGACTCAACACACAATAAGATAAGCCATTTTTATGAATTGTTTATTAAGTATAAAACTGAAAAATAAAAAAAGGTAACGTAACGTAATGGTGCAACCATTATTCGTTATTCAATGTCAAAAGGGGTACAATGACAGGCCTTTTGGCCTTTATGTAGTCTCTCGGCCATCTTCCTGTCTCAGCCATCTTCCTGTCTATCTATTTTATCCCGATTTATTGTAAATGTTTGGTAAATGTTTTGATTGGCCAATAAATGTGACTTATGACTTAATTTATTATAAGATTATAATTAAAATATCAGTTTACATATTAGTGTACATAATTATATACACACACAAAAAAAACACAAAAGCTCCTCCCCAAAAAAATATGTAATATGTATCCTGATTGTTGTAAACAAAAATTTTAAGCATTTGTGTGATACTCAAACATCCAAATTAATTATAAGTCCTACCTCCAGGCATAACGACACCAACATCTTGCAATGTCAAAGAGGTTAATTTATCATCAGTGTCCACCCTGACCACACCATAGCTTAGTCCAGCCATTGATAAAACTCCTCGGCCTGAGGCTGTGTTACCAGTCTTACCAGGCCTTCGTATTGATATTGTGAGCGCTTCTGTTGTGCTGGCACAGGGACATATAGTTTCTGTCTTTAGACCTCGACTTTGGAAAGTATTAAGGAAAGCATCACATGATGATAACGACCCTGAATGAAAAAAAAAATGATTATATAAAAGTATGAAATATAAAATTTAGGTATAAGTTACGAGTTTATACCGTTAATATGTAATATGGGGGGGGGGGGTGTCATTCAATGATGGAGGTCTTTTTGTAAAAGCATCTCTCCTTAGCAAATTATTGAAAATGATTATAACAAAATGACCTACCAAGCAAACATTTTCTTTTATTGTGAAATATATGGCATAGTGATGTCCTCACCATACTCAAACAACCTTCATTAAATTAGGACACTCAGTGGTTGAGTAAAAAAAATTCCTAATAGATCTATTTCTTGTCAAGATTAAATCAAGGACACTGAGATTTGATTATTTGAAGCCTATATACTTGATACTTTTACAGTACATGAATACAATTAAATTATCCTTTTCTGGAGCTTAATAGAATCATGTGACAGTGCATTAGTTGTGTCCTGTATGAGTCTAGTAATCTTATTTGACAGCAAAAATGGATCACTATTTGCAGTCAGTTGACATTTGGGTTAATACATTCATCCAAACAAAGAAAAAGGAAATATTATGAAATAACAATAAGGAAGTTGAAAAAGAAAAAAATAATAATAATAGTACACAATCAGTCAATACTCAATGTTTTTTTATTTAGTGGTAATAAAACAAAAAAAGTACATACTGTATATACAGTAATACCAGATTTTCTAGAACATTTGCTAACTGAACACAACCATATCTCTCTACTTGGACCCTACCAGAGGCCTTAGGTAGACCCAGGCCTTAATATTCATAAAAAGCTGGTGCCTCATTTTAGATGATCTTGGAAGTCAAAATCAGGACAAAAAAATAATCGTGACAATGTAATAATGCACCTGCATCTGTCCTGCTAAACTGGTAATACTGTATAAAAATCTTGAGCTATCCATTTTTTGATTGGTTAAGGCCGTGTACGTCATTTACTGTATATCTTAACAGTGATATTCAATACTGCCTCTATAATATGTGGCTTTTGTTATTATTACTCAACTTAATTCTTTTAGTACATCTAACAATACAAATACTAATAGCAGGAGGAACATACCGAGTTACAACCTAGTCAAATGGGTAAAGTAGCACTTACATGGATTTGCTCCGTCTGCTACAAGTAACATTCGTATTGTATCCAGTCTGACATCCTTGTGTTCCTTCTGAGCCATCAGCCCCCAATGCATATCACGAGACTTCACCACAGCCACAGAGGCTAGAAAATAATGGAAACAGTATTATGATTATTTTTTTACAGAGCATAGGTTTCAAAGGGTTCCACAAAACTGCTTCCACATTACTATGAAGGTCACTGGACAACAGATGTTCTGGCAATATTGCGGTAATAATACCGGTACACTAATACTGACATACACCATTTATACCAACCAAATATTGCCGTAATATAACGCCTTTCTATATGAATGGATCATGCATGGTAAGAAAGAGCCATTGGCACAGATTGAGGGCATGCTTTATTGTTTGTTTCTAGAATATTGTAGAGTAATATTGCGGGAATGTGACCTGCTTTCAATTTAGACACACTCCAGAATGCACCATAACAGGAATGTTGCGGTAATGGAACGCCGTGTAACCATGACTGCGGCTGCAGTTAGGTCTGACCTTTTCATCGTTGGGAATATTCCTGCAATATTGCCATAATGTAGCTCTCATGCAATCATGATGTTGTAGATAATAGAATAGAATAGAAATCTTTCTTTATTCTGGATACTCAGTCAGTATTGTTACACTGTTCTTCACTGAGGTCCAGGGTATCATAATAATTATATTATTATATTATGATAATAATTCACGCATGAGAATGAATTCATCATTCAAATAATGATAATATTTTTAATGGTTAAGAGTATCAAAGATTGGCAACCTCTATTGTCGTGTATTCCAATATAAAAAATTCCCCATTTTAGGGCTAGATGTGTACTGTAGTATATTTAGCTTAAAAGAAAGGTCATTTGTATGTGTTTCTCTCTCCACCCATGAGTGGGCACCAGGTAAGATGTGAATGTTCAACACTGAATTACTTGGTCGATACTCAGTATTCATGCTTTATCAGAAACACTCCCCAGGGAGTATAGGAGGCTACACATTATGCATGACTGAAATTTCCAATTACTAGAGCATTAATGTTTTGAAATTTTTCCTGGAACTCTACATCACGGCCAACATACTACAGTATAATATTACAAATGTGGAAAAAACCAGACAAAAAGGACAATCCTTATATTTTATTTCACTGATATATAAAGTACATATATTTTGATATTCTAAAAGATTCATTATATATCAGCACAAAGACTAAGGCCACTCATTTTACAATTGATAGAAAAATAACTAAAAAATAAATATTAGTACAAAAAAATTATCTCTTAAATCTCAAACCTAATATTACATTTAAATATGTTCTATTAACACTATTCAACATGTTTAATAAACTATTACTACTAAAATAAACAAATTAAGTATACTAGTTTACACAGCATACACAGATCACACAGCTAAGACAGATTAATGAATATATTTTCTGCATTTACCATTACTTACCTTTATACTTAGTTATCATATGCATCCAGGAGGCTGGGTTTATCTTCATTAACCCATATGGGATATGTATTGCATGCATGCCATTAAATACACTCTGAAAAAAGAAGAGTTAAGTAATTATCATGTAAAATTAATTATGTAAATGTTAATGATAAAATGGAAGACATATATACTTGAAATACACATATTTAATGGAAATGCTATTAAATGCAATTAATAATGATATGGCAGTATATATGCACAATAACAAACATTAAAATTGTAGTCAGGAACTTACTAAGATATATAAGTGAAGTAACATGGAAATATTTTAGCGGCATTGAACAGATTGAATGGACTTTCTTTGTAATGCGCATGGCAAGTTAATCTGGTAAGGGACACAACACCAGAAAAAGTACCTTTAAAGCTAAAGAACAAACTTACACAGAGAATACTATGCCAGAGGCCGACATCCCTCTTGAAGTCCAGCACACTGACCATTACTTCACCCTCTGAATAGTTACATGCTACTGTTAGTGTCCGGCAGTGCTGCAGCATTGCACTTCTTGAGATAGTAACTCCCATTACACTGCCATCTTTATCAGTTGTGTACTAAGGATAATAATATGGCATTTCTTAATTTGAGTTATGATCTCTCTTGTGTGAATTCTTGGTGTTTGGAAAAAATACAATTGATAATATTATGATGGGTTGAGTTACATGAAATACATAAAAGTGGAGTATTGTGGAATACCTAAAGCTCTGTCCACACTTACAAATTGTATGTGACAATCTGTGTGATGTGCCCATATATGGGCATCATGTGCCCATATATGGACATCATGTGCCCATATATGGACATCACTCATATTATACCAAATATGGGCATATCACATTTCTATCACATAAAATGTGATAGTGTGGACAGAAATTAAGGCTCCGATGCATTTCTTACTGAATATCTCTTCTCTAAATACTTGGTAGCCTGGTTCTCATGAGAGCCCTAGTATCCCGATCAGGAGCTAACCGTTAGCGCTAACCATTAGCACCTGCGTGAGAATGCCTGATCGGTTAGCACTAACTGTTAGCAGTATCCGGTTAGCAAGCGCTATCGGTTAGCAAGTTGAGGGCGTTTCTATCATCAACCAATCACATGTACGCGTTTACAATTTCCAGTTTCTTATTGGCCAGTGAATCGATCATCATATTGTTGGTATCCGGATCAGGATTTTCTCGCATGGACGCACGGCAGCTAACGGTTAGGAGGATCCGGATCCTGCTAACCATTAGCTGCCGCGTGAGAATATAGCTGAAGTAAAACATGTTTAGTGTAATATTTGGATTTTGAGATGTGTAGTTGGTGATGTATTGATCTGAGTCTACAAAAAGAATAATTTCTGTTCTGATATGTCTTGAAATAAATGAAGCATGAAGTAATGTAAAATTTCTGATGTTCTGATGTATTCTTTGTCAAATATCTCTTCCCTAGATGCTGGGTGAAAGAGATGTTCAATGTGAAATTTAAATTTTGAGATGCATAGAATTGATGGTGATGTATTTGATAACAGTTGAGTAAGTGCTGTGTATGGTGAATTTGGTGCATAGTCCATCCCTACAGGCAGCAAGGGTATGCAAAGTGGATTGATTCATGCAATGGACCTCAAATTTTAACTATTTGCAACAACTGCTTTACCTTGTGATGCACATAAAGGTGAGTTGTACATAGAAAGATGAATTGAGTCTTACCTCTATATAGGCAGGTGAGTCATCAGACATTCTGGAGGGCATCTGCCAGTCTTTGGGAGGTTTATTCAGATGCTCTGTTACATGCCAGTTTAGTTTTGGCCAACCTAAAGAACAAGAGAGAGAGAGAAACAAATACTAATTCAATAATAATGCGTATAATTATTATAATGTATACAAAATTTTCAATTAAGAATTTATGGTAACACTAATTATTCTTTAGTTTGATTAAACAATATATATTGAGAGTGATCCAACCGAGACCTCCTTCTAGCTATTCAATTAAAAATGGTATATGACTTTTAAACATACAGACACAGAGATGAACCATTAACAGACATCAGCATTGATAATGTTTGTAAACAATATCCAGTGTTAAGCACTTAATGATGTTATTTAATTGAATATCCTGAAAAGATAAATCTTCATCAAAGGAATAACAGTGTCAATAAAAACTAGGAACTTGTCTGGTAATGAATAAGAAGAAACACAAGGAAAGTCTATAAAAGTGACAGTTGGCCTAGCACAGACTAAGACCTGTTTTAAGCCGAGCATTTCCCCACTTATCCACGTTCTCTTACACTGTCTCCTTTAAACATCTCTCTAGGGTAAGAAGCAAATTCATCTGTATAACACTTACCTTTAAAATGTGCTATTTCTCCAGATGTATTCTTGGGTAGCTCTTTAAGACACTGTGCTGTCGTCAAAGCGTTTACTATACCTAGACTACCAAGGAGAAAACCTATCTGTTGACTTCCAGCATCCTTAAAAAAAACCCCCAAAACCAACCAGTTAGTCAATTAATAAGGTACAAGTCAATCGTGACGTCATCACTGTAACTCCCAATGTTATTTGCCTATTCCCCACCGTCCACTAATTTTTCTATTAGTGGATGCTTGGCTTGATTTTTTTTAGGTTCGTGTGCAAAAAAAAATTCCTCATCACTGCGAAGACATCGTGCACCATCGTGACAAAAATTGAATTGTAATTGAAAATCACTTTCGTAAAACAAGCTTACTAAGAACCCGAAGAAAGTTACTTCAAATTCAATATTAAGTATGAACAATTAAGGAATTCATTGAATCAATGGACCCTCATAAACACTTTACAAAACGTGACTAAAGAGAACTGTTTTGAGGATGACAAGACCAATCAGGGAATGAATGGACTCAAAATGGAAAATGCAGACTCACTGAAAGGTAGTGGTAGGTAAGCTCAAAATTGAGCATTTTAAGTCCTACTGAATGTTACACTGGCATTTTGCCAGTTTGTTCAGTAAGAACTAATTCTGATTTGTGTTACCTGCGCCATATAAGTCCAAGTAAAAGAAAAAGTAGTTTCCTAATATTTTGAAAAAAGGAGAATGAGGGCACTTTTTTTACTCCGATATGGCAAATCCAAAATGGTTGATGAGAAACAGCTTCTACTTTCTCACTTTTACCTAGCCTGGGTTCCAGGCCCTAATTTTAGGTTACTCACTTTTTATTGCACTTAGTGCGCGCCATACCTAATTTAATTGGCGTCCCATACTCGATTTCTTTTTTTTCGAATTAGGGCCTGGGCAAACGATTCATGCGT